GTATTTAACGTGTGGCCCAAGACAACTCTTCTTCTTCCAGTGTGGCCCAGAGATGCCAAAAGGTTGCACACCCTGTATTAGCTCCTTTAATTCTCACAAGAAAGACCCTTTCATTTTCCTCCTGGTGCAGATTGGAAAAGGGCTCCTGCAGTTAGTTAGGAGCCTGGCTCAAGGCCACTCCACAATAAAGGATGGGGCTGTCTTTACAGAGATGAACCCCGTGGACTGGGTCCTCAGCCCGGGCTCCTCATCACCACACATCACTTCTGTGACCCCAGCACTAGAAGTCCTTTTCTCACTTCTAATTTGCTTCCCTAAATTTGTCACAGGGTCAGATAACTGAGCTTGTTGAATCTGTGTAAAGTAATAATAAGTAGGAGACCGAAGGTGAGAGTACTGGGGGATGCCAGCTGAAAGTGTGGGGTTTCTTTTGGTGATGAAAAAGATGTTCCAAAATTGGTTGCACAACTCTGCAAATATAATAAAAACCACTGAATGGTACACTTTACACGGGTGGAGAGTGTGTTATACAGATTATGTGGAGGAAGTAGGAGAGGCGAGGGAGCACTAATGTGCATTTCGGTTGCTCGGAGATTTTTCCCGTTGCCGGTGCTGGCTAAGTTCCAACTCTGCACTTTGTGGTGTGGGCAAACACGGGCAAGCTAATACGACAGGATTCACAGTGGACGGGAGACAGCTCCTGGGTACCACCAGCTGTTCCTGCCTTCTCGTCTTTGCCTCCTGACTCTGACTCCACAGAGAGTCCACCCTCCCCCTCACCTTGAGCCAACTCCACATCCCAGGGGAGACCTGGACAATGTCATCTCCTCAGGAGGCAGGACTCTGCAGCAAGCCCTCCCTGCTGGCTTCCAGTGGGGGCCTGGCCGGTAAAAACAAGTGCTTCTCTTCTAGCTGTCCTTTTAGTTTGCTTTTGTTTTAGGTGTGGTTGTTAATAACTGTGAGTTTGCTGTCCTTTCACTGTTCATGTTTTTTTAACTTCTTTTTCTTAGATAAGTCCCTTTAACATTTCATATAATAAGGGCTTGGTGATGATGAACTCCTTGAATTAGATCAGGAGTGGAAACATAGAAATGAAGATCTCAAGGAGGGTTAGCAACAGGGGAGTGGGAGGAGGAGAAGTGGGGAGAAGGTACAGAAAATAAGTAGCATAGACAGTAGATAGAAAATAGATGGGGGGCAAGAATAGTATGGGAAATATAGAATCTAAAGAACTTGAGACACATGGTCATAAACTAAAGGGGGGGTAATGGTGGGGATGGGGGGTAGGGTGGAGGGGAATGAAGGGGGGAATAGAACAACTGTAATGGCATAATCAATAAAAAATAAATAAATTAAAAACAAGTGCTTCTCTGAGCTGCCTGGAGCTCTGGCTCTCTGGGCTCAGCCCCCAGTTCTGGTTGGAGCCCCGCTCAGTTCTTACAGCCACTAGAATCCTCCACAGCAAGCGCCATGTTTTAGGTGCTCATCTTTCTTACTCACAGATCACAGTTTTTCTTTTTTGTAAGAAATGTTTTACTTTCTGGTTCTAATGTGTGTTTTTACAATACATCTAGAATTGTTTTCTTTTGTTTTTTTAGTAAGGGGGAAAAAATGTCTGCAAAAATAAAAAAATAATTTTAAAAGCCTTCTCCAAACACCAGGAATATTCAGGCACATCCGAGGAGCAGGGCCAGGGGGGGCTTTTCCAAAACTGGAAGCCACGCCTCATGCTACAATTTAAAACACAAGTTCACCAACTCTGCGTGTCTGGGGACCTGCTGCCGGCTTCAGGCCTGCGGGCTCCTGGCAGGAGGGCACCATATCACCATGTGTATTTCAGACTGTCAGGGAGGAGCAAGAGATGAAGAGGAAGCAGCAGAGAAAGTTCCTCCACAAAAGTGTCCACACCAAAATATTTGCACAACGGTACCCCTACTGAGCAGGGAAACTGAGAGACAAACGGGGGGCAGTGCACAGCCCCAGAGGACACTAGCACATCAGACAGGGAGTCCAGGGACCGGCTGTCACTGGGCAGAAAAAAAAGCCAGTGGGTAAAGTGGAGCTTTGGCCCAGCTTCCCCCCATGTCATTTAGGAGCTGGCAATTCCATCCCGGGGAACAAGGCCCAGGGTCACTCCAGTGGCATGGGTCCAGATGGCACCACAGACCCCACCCCTGCCTAACCAGGGGAGAGCCCCGGGGTCAAAGTGCGGGGTTCTGCATTCAAAAGACATGAATTTCAGTTTCTGCTCTGTCACTTACTCGCTATGTGTCCTTGTGCAAATTAATTTCTCTGAGCCTTATTTTCCTAATCTGCATAACGGAGGGCATAAGAATATCCACTTGATAAACCTGATGTAGGGATTAGGGAATGAAAATAAACCGCACAGCCCAGCACTTCACCCACGGTAAGAGGCGGCCGTTACTGCTGCCCACCTCCATCTGGGCAGCAGGAAGTCGGGGTGTGAGCATGCACAGGGGGCTCACTGTGACCCAGGCACTGTCCCCAGCCAGGTGCTAATTCCCTCATTCCTCACAACACCTCAGGAAAGCAACTACTATTACCATCCTCATTTTGTACAAGGGGAAGAAACAAAGAGCTTTCCTAATTTGCCCAAGGTCACAGAGCATACTAGTGAGTGGCAGAACACCACGGTCCAGGGAGCAGCGGCCACCCCGATGTGGTGTCTGTGGTGGCCACAGGGAAACAGGATATATTTCCTCCACTAGGCATCTGCTGCTCACCACCACAGGCCGAGTCCTGGGAGTGCAGTGGGAGCCAGGCGCCGTCCTCAAGGCCTTCCGGTCAAAGGGGCAGACGGAAGCAAACAGAGACCAACGCCACCCATTAAGTAGGGACAGAACAACGTTCCTGGAGAGGAGTTTGCGAGGAATTTCTGGAAACCACAGAGCACCATTTGGACTTAGAGGAAGAAGGCTTCCATTCTGTCGCTAGCCTGGGCATTGATAAGAAGAGAACAATCTCTTTTTACAGGCACCAGGCCCACGTCACACGTAATGGAAACTACAGTCAGAAGCGTCTTATTCCTGGTGATAAAAAATGCCAGTACTCCTCATTATTAAGGTTACAAAGTGATCAGTTTATAAGACGGAGAAGGTCCTTCAGACCCATCTGTCCATAAAGTCGCCCTCTGTGACGCCAGTGCAGTGTGGTCTCCACAGTCCCACTCTTCTTCACCCACCGGGGACGGCCGTGCCACAACGCATGGGGCCACCCCACCTCTCCCAGTGCACGGCTGTGAGGGCAAAACACCCCTTCATCTCAGGGTCTCACAGCTCCTCCGAGGAAGGAAAGCACTTACTTTATGGGTGATGAAACCTGATTCTTGCCTTTATACCAATACTTTACTTTTACTTTTTTGTATTTTACCAATACAATACTTTACTTTACTTTTTAACTTCCAAAAAGAAGTTAAGAAAAGACTAGACATCTATACTACCAAGCCAGGAAAGGACTTGCCTCTACAGAGGTACCTTAGGAAGAACCTGATGGCTAACTAGGTTACAGAAAAGACCCCACTTTCACTACGTCAGCTACTGAGCTCTGCAGTGTGCTGGCCACACAGGCAGCCAGCTACACCCCCGCTAGGCACTCCATCGAAGCTTTTCTGCTCTTTAATTCTGCCTTCCAGGTGAGATAAACTGTGAAAAGGTGAAGGGTTCCCACTGCACTTGGACTAACATCCAAACTTCTTATCAAAGAGAGCACAAAGCCAGTCTGATCTGAGGCCTGAGGTCCTGGCTCTTATCCCTTTAACCACACCTCTGCCCCACGCGGGCCCTGAAGATAGAGGGCCTTTGTCCTGGCTCCTCTCCCTGTAAGGCTCTCACTCAGCTCTACACATGCTAGTCCCAATACACCGTGTGAGCATCAGCTACAACGTCACCTCCTCCGAGAAACCTTCCCTAAATATCCCATCTGAAAAAGTACTACTCACCTCCCTGCCCAACATACACACAGCCTTTCTTTCCCTCTCTCGACTCCCAGTCCTTTCCTTCCTAGCACCTGGGCTGGGCCTAGGCCTGGGCCTCTTCGTCCTCAGATCCGCTCCCCGCCCTCCCCTGTGTTTTCAGCTATGCGTCAGCTGGTTTCTGGCTAGGTCTGGCCAATGGCAACCATTCAGGGAAACTGGAAGATGCCCTTCATCTCTCTATCTGCCTTGGGAGGCATCTCTGCAGCTATTGCTTTGCCTCCTTGGCTCCAGTGTCCACTGGAAAAGCCACTGCAGTTCCAGCTTCTCCGCGCTGGGCTCCAGCAACTCCAGCTCTTTCCACTGTCTCTCCCAGGGTGGTGGCTGCTTTCCACTGTGTCTGACATCTGGGCTGCCTCCCACGTCCCTGCTTGTCTTCACAGCTCTCTGCCACCTCTGTAACCCACTCCCTGCATTAAACGCCTACTTCCAATACTCAGGTGGTTTCAGTTTTCCTGATTAGACCCTGACTGATATAGCACATAACTTATTTTTTATTAATTTGTCCAGTTACTTATTATTGTCTAGACCCACTGTACACACTGTAGGACAGGGACGACAGTGCCCTGTCCTGTGAACAAGACAGTGGCCTTGTTCACTGTTACATCTCCATTGCTCAGCACAGACCCCGGGAAATAGTGAACTGAGTTCATTAGTGATGCAAAGTACTTATCAAGTGATAATAAGAAGTAAAATTTATATTTCCTAAGAAGTCCTCAAATTTCCAAAAAGAAAATGGACATTCCATTTGGAAATGGTGTGTATTTATGCACCTGATCCATTATAAAAACAGCAGCAAAGAGAGAGTGGTTTTTTTCATCATTTCAACCAAACAGGGGCACCGAAATGTCCTTTAAGAAATTGGTGATCGAGTGGTTTTGGTTAAGAAATAAACTCAGTACCCAGGGACAGACCAGTTCCCATGAGCCACCTCACCTCAGAACTAACACCCACAGTCTGCCTGGGTCTACACAACTGGGCACATGACAACTGAGTCGTGGGGACAGACCTTTTCACGCTCTCCACAGACTCCTGCTCCGCCAGCTCCTTCTGCAGCTCTCTCTCCTTAGCCTCCTTCTGGCCGATGGGGCAGTCCTCGGGGACGGTGAAGAGGGACAGGGCATCTTTGCTGTCCTCTTCTCGGAGCACTTTAGCAAACACCTTCTCGGCCAGGAGCCGGACTTGCTCATCCACCTCAGAGATGTTCAGCTTGGGGAACTGGCGCGGCATCTCGGCTAGGAAAAAAAGAACAAGCATTAACCTTCCCGAGTTACTGGATGGTCTGAGTCACAGCACGGGCGGGGGACGGGGAGGGAGAAGAGCCAGGCCCCCAGTCCTCGGGGTCAGCTGCGTACTTAGGACGTCCCCTGACCAAACTCAGCAGGCCAATTTTTAAAGCCAGCTCCACAAGTAACTGGATGTGAAGAGAGTAGGGCCACTTACATTTCATGAGAAAGCAAGTGTTCGGAAGTCAAAGAATGAACTGCCCCACTAAGTGCGCCTCCCTCGGCCTGACCTCAGGGAATCCGAAGGACACCGCAGCCCTGCCTTTCCCGGCTTTGTTTCCATGATGGAGAAGGGAAAGGAGAGGTCAGCACCTTCCTCCTGCAGGTTATGAGGAGGCCATTCCAGCTGCAATGGCCAGACCTCACTCCCACTGCACACAGGGTCTAATGATTAGTTTAAGGTCCCGTGGGATGACAGCAGAGCCCTCGGGAACCCAAGACTGAATTTTTCATCACATGAGACAAGGCCTGTTGCTGAAAAGAAAGAATTTGCGATCACGGTCCCACCATCTTCCAAACTCTCTGGCATTTGTACCAAGACACAGCAAATAAAATACAGAAGCCCCCCAGATCCAGGTGGAATACGTTGCAAGACCCCCAGTGGGTGCCTAAAACCCCAGATAACATTGAACCCTATAGATATGATTTTTCCTATACACACGTATCTATGGTAGAGTTTAATTGATAAATTAGGCACAGTGGGAGATGAACAACAATGACTAATAAAAATAGAACAATTATAATTAATATAGTGTAATAAAAGTTATGTGAATGGCTTTGTGGCCATTATTAAGTAAAATAGGGGCTCCTTGAACACTTTTACTGCAAGACAGTCCAATGACCAAAAGGGTGAAGCGACTAAAAAGCAGGAAGCATCTATAGTGTGGAGACGCTGGACCAAGGGATGGTTCCTGCCCCCCTGAGACAGGGCAGCCCGGCTATGCAGAGTGGCATGCAATTTAAAATGTGTGAATTGTTTGTTTCTGGCATTTTCTACTGACTATTTCCATACCACAGTCAACCACAGGTAACTGAAACCACCAAAAGTAAAACTGTGGACAAGAGGGGACTACCGTAAAGGGTTAGAGACGGGGTGCTCTTTACCTTGCATGGCCCAGCTGAAAAGTCACTTCCTCGAAGAAGCTTACCCTGCTCCGCCTCTCTGCTCGCCGGGTGGAACCCAGCACCTGGTTCTACCTGTACCGGTAACCACTATGCTGCCCTGCTTCTCTTTGTCCATCTGGGTGTCAAGGCAGGTGTCCCCACTGTCCCCAACATTTATGGCATCATTGAATACTGTATCCTCTCAACAACCAGCTCTGGAAGAAGAGTCTCCTGTCCACCTTTTACCACAATTTCTTTAGGGAAGGTTTAAAGAGAGAAGTGGTTTTGTCAGCCCAACAGATAAGGATGAAGGCTGGATAGTGCCCAGTTGCTGTCTGGCAGGAAGAGGAAGCAGTTACTGAGGGGGGCACTCAGGGGGAGCCACCCTGGGACAGCCGTTCTCGGGCTCTCACCGCTTTCTCAGCTGCGAGATAAAGGGACTAGGCTAAGTGGTCCCCAAGGCCTCTCAGTTCTAAGTGCCATAATTCTAGGTACCAGAGAGGCTTCCAGTGCCCGGGAGGCTTGCTGCTCAGGTCCTCTCTGCAGCACGTGGGTCTAATTCATGACACAGACAGGAAGGAGGAAAGAGGCTAGTAACAGGCAAAGAACATCTGTGGGCCCATCAACTGTGAAACCAATTTCTCCCTTCCCTCCCCACCAGGACCCTGCCTTTCCTAGGCCTCTCTCACTCTCAGGGGGTCGAGGGGGAAGGAGCTGATTCAGACAGAGACACCTCAACACGCTACTGTGCTAGTCTGTGGTGGCAGAGACCATGACAACAGCCAAGGCCTGGTCTGCAAAAGGGAAGAGGAACAGAGCTGCCTGGAGATCAGCACGTCCTGATAGCAGAGAGAAGGGGAAGCTGGAAACCATCAGAGCAGAGGCTGGGAGAAGAAGGTGACAGGGGAGAGAAATGGAGAAGACAGAGAATAGATCCAGGAGGAGCTGTTTGGCCGGAACAAATCTGGACCTTCACCTGGCAACTCTAAGGCCACAGGTCAAGGGCAACATTCCAAAACCTCACATCATATCTCAGAAGCAAACATCCAATAGACCCCAGGCAAGGAAGGAGCGGCCAATGCCAGGAAGCAGCCGTACCATTGAACATTTTCTAGAAGTTGCCTCTGAGAAAAGGAACCGAAGGAAGGAAAAGGCACAGTGATATTTACATGCGTCACTTTAAAATGTCCAAATTAGAGCACACTCACTTGAGAAAAATTGTTGAGCAGCCAAAATCATCATTATGAGGACAGTGTGCAACCACATAAACTATCTTAGGAAATAATGGTAAGTAAAAATGAGTAAATAAAACTGTACCCATGGTCGGATTACAATGATATGAAAATGTGTCCCCTGTGGACAAGGGCCGTAAGGGGGACTCTTGCTCCAATGGCAGGACTGCCCGTATGGGAGGCAGTATCCGACCTGGATCAGGACTGCCGTCATAATGTCATTTCGACAAACACAGAGGAGGAAGAAAGGAAGTGAAGAGGCTGAAGTATTTATAAAAAGAGAGAAACGTAGAAAAACAAATCAAACTTCAACATCCCAGGTTTTGGCGGTTACCCTCACCTAACCCACACCACAGAGGGACAGCCCGAAGGGAATCGCACCACGAGGCCCATCTCCGCACTAGCTCCTGCCTCCCACCTGCCTCCCACCGCCTTCCTGTCCCCTGTGCTCTACCCCCCCCTACACACAGCCATACCCCCAGACCCCCGCAGAGACGGGCATTTGAGGGCTCCTTTGTGTCTGAGGGCTCTCTGCCAGGTCTTGCCATATTCTTCCATGAAGTATTTTCAGCTTGCTCAGGTCAACTAAACATACTTTTTCCGAATGCACCTTTCTACAAAAGATCTCCTTTCTTTCACTTAAATAGCTTCAGTCAGCCTTTGTCAAACTGGGTCCCCTAAGAAGTCGATACCTATTGCTGGTAAAACAGGTCCCATCGTCAATTATTAGGGAGATGCTGCATTCCACAGCCCCCCAACCCAGATTCACAGGGCACATCAAAAACTCAAGGGTCATAGAGTAGTATTTCCCCACAAAGCCACCTCCTGCCCCGGTTTTTTTTTTTTTTAACAGAACCCCTATGAATCTCCTGCAGAGCTACTACCAATATCTTAAGTAATTAGTAGAGGCTTAATTCCATGCCTTACTATGAACCAAGCAACCCAGAAGGATTACTTGGGCTAAGCCCATTTAACATTCAGCTGGGCTAAGTCAGTGGGTCTCAGGAAACTCCTGTAGCCCTGCCGTCTTCTAGACAGCCTGGGCAGACAGTTCCCAACCTGCCAACCTCTCCCTCCACTTCTCATCTCTCTTCTCAGACCTACAGACACGGGCCAGGCCACAGGCAGAGGAAAGCCCACTCTGCAGATGCAAAGCAGGGCTTCAGCTCCAGCTTATTCAAGCCTGATTTTCAACTTTGTTGGCTAGAGCCCGCAGCCTTGGGAGGCTTAACTGAATTCACCAGCACTGCCAGGGTGATACTGCTTATCTCACCATTACACACAACAACCTCCAGGGAGCCTGTAAAAGTGCCCCAAAGTCAGAAAGCTGTCAAATGCCACCCATTTCAACAAACAATAACTGTGGCACCACAGCCCCTTCAGAAAGGAAGCACAGTGCCACTTAAATCCCCTCCTTACAGAAATGAAGCTGTTCCCTGCTCTTGCCAGACTCGGATCGTCAGAACCCACAACACAGACCTGATCCTAGCCGTGGAGTCTCCATGGCTGCTTCTGAGGATGCCACACAGGTGACGCACTCAGGCCAGGCTGCAAGCTGCCGGGGAGGCTGAGCTGAGTCAATGCAAGCGCAGCTAGCTGGGTCCTATCTGCCGTTGCCGTTGCCGGGGTGGGAGGTCTCTGCTTTGCATATCTGTGAGCAGCCTTGAGCAAGAGCAGGAAAGGTCTGGGCTGGAAGTTCTCCCATGAATATGAAACAGAAGTGGAAAATTTCCAAGAGCCCTAAAGGGCTCAGGCCATGCTAATTATCCATGCTGCTATATCCTGAATGCGGTGTCCTCGCCTGGTCCACAGCCTGCTCCAAAGCAAGAAGCTGAAACCACTGCTGCCCCAACGCAGCAGCACACCCAGCCTTCCTGATTAACCCCAGAAGAAGCACAGTCTCCATCTAACCTCCAGACCCTTCCTGAAAGGTAAGCAGTAACGTGCAATACCATCCTTTGCTGCCTCCCCTCAGAAGACACCCCGTCCCCCACCCAAACAACTCATCCAAGCCCATGCCAGGGCTGGCAGGAGAGCTCTGAGCTCAGCTGCCCATAAGAGCTCCACCCCCCCTCCTCTTCTAAAAGAGGGAAGGTCTATGAACTGCTCCCTCCTTTCCCAGAAAGGACAGAGACTCAGTAAGAAGGGAAACTGAGGCAGAAGCCAGCCAGGATAAAAAGCTGGCATACCTTGTTCCACTCCTTCCTTTTTTCCCCCAAGGAACCTGGGCACCACTGGTGACTGGGCAGCCTGACAAGCTCTACCAGAGTGTGGCGTGCACGTACACACACACGCCCACCCCCACACGCACAAAGTATGTCCTGCCTCACCCACCTGAGCCCATCCTCCCCACCCTCTCCTTACGGCCGCTCTCGGTGTCCATGTGGGCCTCCAGCTCTGAGAAGCCTCCTGAGCCCTGGCCAGACTCAGTCACCCCTGCCACCAGCAGCTGCGGCTCCCACTGGGGAGGGTGGGGCTGCCTCCAGTGACCCACAGAAGCAGTCCTCTCAAAGCCAGCAGGGTGGATTAAAGCAGAACCACAGGACACGAGGCCCTACTCTTCATCCACCCTTTGGGAGAAGGACAGTCCTGTGTGGGAAGGCTCAGAAGAGA